CGGGCTGGGCATCAGCATCAAGGGGGGCAAGGAGAACAAGATGCCCATCCTCATCAGCAAGATCTTCAAGGGGCTGGCGGCGGACCAGACCCAAGCCCTGTACGTGGGCGACGCCATCCTGTCGGTGAACGGCGCCGACCTGCGGGACGCCACCCACGACGAGGCGGTGCAGGCGCTGAAGCGCGCGGGCAAGGAGGTGCTGCTGGAAGGTAAGGGGTTAACGCGGCGCGCGGGCCGTGCCAGGCGCGCACCCCCACTTCCCCTCCCGGGGCGCCCGCACTGGCACCCGCAGACTGTCACACCCCAGGGGGCCCGGGTGCTGAGGGTGACCTGGAGTTTTAACAACTTTTACCCACACGGGGGCAACTGGTCCCCTCCCTGGAATCGTTCCAGGCTTTGACCCCGCAGGGGGGCGTGAAAGGCCAGTGTTTCTCGAACTTCTACGCGCCAAACGCCGGATCCCATGCTGAGTGCACCTCGCCTCATTGTAATCTGCAGATAATCCACGTGGGATAATCCACGTGGAGTGCATGGACGGAGAATCATGGCGCTGGCAAGGAAGGGCAGACAGTCACCATCCACGCTGGGAGGCTGGCTCACTGAGTAATCACAGCTCTGATAGTTTTCCTCTTTGGCAGTTTCCTCCTCAGAAGCCTGCACAGCCCGGCGTAAGGGGCTGGATCATCCAGGGGCCTGAGAGGGGTGGCAGCATTTGAATGCTGGAACTCCCACCACCCTTCTCCACGGCCCTGCTTCCAACGTGGGAACGGGGATTCTGGCTGGGGAGGTGCGCCAGGGGCTGGGAAGTGGGTTGCAGCTTCATGCACAAGTTCACCTCTGCTGCCAGGTGTTTGGCAGGTCAGTCTGGATTCAGGTTGCGCTGGGTGGAGGGCTGGTGAAGTGGGTTTTCTGCCTGCATTTTCCCGGGATTTTTCCAGAGGGAGGTGGAAACAACTTCGCATTTGTAAACAGTTTCCCCTGCCTGTGAGGCATCTTAGAAACCACTCTCTTGAGCTGTGATGTCCCCAGGCCCCTCATCATTGAATGTGAATAAAATAGCTAGTGTGTTTTGTACCCATTTGTGGTTCTGTGGTGGTGTGTGTGGAGGGGGCGGGGGGAGAAGGGCAGTAGGGTAGTAAGCAGATAATGCATCCCCTTTCCCGCCACAGCTGCATTTCTCACTGATCTCCGCCTCTCTGACACTTAGCTGGCTTTGCCCATGCCTCTGTCAGCACCTACGTTGTGTAATTATTTTATCTTTTTACCCAGCTTCTAACTGCAGATTGAGTTGTCTGGGGTCTCTCACTAATACATTTAGTGTGGACTTAATAAACATTCTGTTCACCAACTGTGGTGCTGGTGTGTGAAACTGAGAAAGTTCCCAGTTGGGAAACCAACTTTGTTACATGTGACAGCTGATGCAATCCCTGCCCACCTCCTGGCCTAGACTACAGAGGGTTTTCCCCCTCTTATTTGTCTAGAGGAGCCGCGAGATGTCTTCATATTTAATTGCTACCCTGGATCCAGAAAGTGGAAGGCTGTTTGCTTTGGCTTGATGATTAACATAAGTAAACAGAAAATAGTTTTCTCCCGTGTGTGTTGGTTTGTGTGACAAGGGGCAGGTGGGACCTGGCTCAGGTGTAGTTTGGACTCTAAACCGCTGGACACCTGCTCGGCTTGCAGTATTTACTGTAAAACATCAGGGGGACAAAGTCAGGTCATTCCTATTTCACTGCCCTTCATTGTGGCCCTTCTTTTCTTCTTGCTTTCCATTTAATGAATAATGACTTAGCTAATAGGTAAAAAAGTCTCTCACCCCAAAAGAGGAAGAAAAGGTGGCTCCCTGCAGTTGAAAATAAACATCAACAAAGAAAAAACAAAGTCAAGCAGTTATGTGACTTTTACTGATGCAGCAACTGAAAAGTGAGTGTTGTCAAAACTTCTACCATGACATTTTTACAACACGTTGTCATGTGTTGCAGGCAGGGCCTGTGGGGAAGACCTCTGGGCCTTCTTGACAAGAGCCTCCTGGGCTCAGGGCCATGGTCTTATTTCCAGTCTAAGTTTTCAGAAATTGACTCCTATTAAGAGAACAAGTAGAGGCCCCATTTAAATGAGTGTCTCTTATTCTGAGACAAAGTTGCTGGTCCTAGATGCGGTGGGAGTGATCATATACTATCAAGTCAGCTAGCACATGACCTCTCTTTGTAGCTCAGCTTCATACAGAAATCCCACGTGAAGGGGCTTGTCAGAACCACTGGGAGGGCTTGCCCACATTCTGAAATGCCATCTTGATTCCAGAATTTCTACCTAGGAAAAGCTTTGCAGGTGTAACCTCGAGGGACGAGAGGGCTAAAGGAGGTATTTTAAAGATATATTCATATGGCAAATACACTTTTTAATTTAGATTTCTTTTTTTGCTTTGCTTGTTGGGGGAGCTGATAGAAATTGGTGTAGTCCCCCAATGGCTGCCAGTACGCACCCCATTACATGACATGCGCCCCCTAGTGGAGAGTCCCTGCCTCTACTAGTGGGACACCCTGCGAAATGGAATGCTGAACAGCAAGTTTTAATGCCTGCCTCCTAGTCTGACATTCTGCCACAGAATCATCTTAACCTCCCCGAGCCTCAGTGTCTTCTGAAGATTGGGAGTAAAGATTCCCGGCCGGGCATGCTTACTTCACGGGGCTGCGGTATGGAAGAGCGCGCTGAGAATAAAAGGAAAAACAACAACAACAACATGTACCAAATGCCGGCTGTGATTAGTTATCTTTACAATTCAGATAAAATGAAGATGCAATAGCCTCTTCTAAGGGATAAGCCTTCCTTTTTTATTTACTAGATTTTATATTTCTTATTTTCATTCTAATTTATTTGTAGGATATGAAATTCTACAAACTTGTCATATACAGAAGACCACTCTTCTGGGGAAAGAATCGTTCCAGTACTAATATTTCTTAAGCACTTACTGTGTGTCAGGCTTCATTTGCATTCGTTCACGTTACCTTCTAGTGACTCCATGAAGCTCGTACTCTTGTTCCTTTTACTGATGAGAAAGCTAATGCTTACAGACAGTAGGTTATTTGCTTAAAGTAACATAGCTGAGAGGGTTCTAGGTCTGACATAAAAGCTCATACTTGTAACCTCTGAAACTGATGCTCTGAGCTTCTGGGTGGAACTATGAACCTGGGTCAGTGGGAGCCTCATCAGTGATTGGGTCAGGGTATCTTCCCCACTCCTCAAGTATGCTCAAGTGCTTGGAACACAAGCCCTTGAAAAGGAAATAGAAATTGTGTGGGCTACTCAGAAAGGAGGGACAGGAAAGAGAATTGAGCCTTCAAACCCTAATGCACCAAGTCTCTCTGGCTATGAAAATGGAGCTGCTTCTGTGTGACCCAACTTGACAATGAGACAGGGCCTCCATCATTGAACACAGGGCCAGCAAAGAGACTAGACAATAATTCAAACTTAAAATAGTGAATGAACTGTGCCAGTTAAGTCAGTGTTTAACTGAATATTCAACAACATTAGTATCAAACATCTTCACATGATGAACTCAATTCCCATGTTAGGGAGTGGGAGCAGGCACCCTGCATGTAGCCGTGCAGATATTGAACCCCTTAACTCCAGGGGTTACCATACACATAAGCCCCCATGTGAATGGCACCCTCTGGGTTGGGCAGGGCACTCCTACATAAGCAGCCTCAGCAGCTCCGCGTAGGGAAGGTAGGAGGTGGTGTTTCCCCCCCTTAGAATATTAATAAAATAGGAATTTGAAACATGTCAACCTGCTTGTAACTGAAGTTACAACAAAATTAGTTTCTCCATAACTGTGCCAAGAAGAGGAGCACAGAATATTCTGGAAGATTCATATTGGGATGTGGAGATTGGTTGGGGTGGACAGAATCATCTCTGGGCCCAAAAGGTCTCCTTTGGAACTAACCCAGAAAAAGTGAAAAGTCAAAGGAGAAAGTCAGAGACAATTGTTGACCTTAACCCTGTACATCAAAGCTTTCCCCCCAGACTGCTCCCAGGAATGCTTGGCTGTTGAGCTGATCTAAGGTGTCTTTCACAATCACTTCCTCCAGTGGTGCAAGTGGGGATGGTAGGGCAGAGATGTGGGGGGGCAAGGAAAGGGCAGTGATTTTGCCGGCAGAAAGCCTCAGGATTGGGATGAGAATTTGATCTTTAAAGAATCTTGCTTTGTATGGGATGCACAGATTATTTTTTTTGTTTTTGTAGGATGTACAGATTCTTAAAGAACACCCAAGAACTCCGGAATTAGAGTCTTGAAACTTGGATTATTTATCTTTTAACTAACAGTTACTCTTTTTACAAGATGCTGTATGTCTTAGGCCTTGATTTTCTTCATTAGAGAGTAAGGTGGCTGGGGTAAGCCACATGTAAACCGTATTTCACCTCAAATCCTATCAATTCACACCCAGAATATATATTTTTTCCATTTTAGAATTTCACAAATCACATAAGCAAACTCTAATTTAAATTTAAAAATCAAGGTAATGCCCTATTACTATTATACTTTTCGCATAAACATGATGGAGAAACTATTGTTTGAAAAGCTTTAGTAGAAAAATGCATGACACAACTACACCAGAGGTCATAGTGAAGGAGACAGATGCTAGTCCTTGTTTGTAAAATCACCATCAATGCGCGGCTACAGATGAAGATGGGTAGGAGGCTGTGCTGTCATTTGGGATCTGGTAAAAGCTTGCACTGTTAAGTGACTGCCCCTGATGTTGCAAGATGTCTAGAATTCCTGGCTCCTATCACTAAATGCTAGTAGTATACCTAAACCTCCCGTCCCCTTATCCTCTAAAGTGCTTCCGCAAATTTCTGAACTGCTAGTGGGGAGGGGTGGATTGGCCCCTCACCCTCTTGAGAATCAGTGTTCTATAAGAATGCTAATATTACCTTGCCAGTTCATAATGTCTAACTTTTTGCAAACTCTTTTTTTACATACGTAATAATAGCTAACACTTACCTAATACTGACATTGTGCCAAATGCCGTTCCAAGCACTTTACATAGATAAATCAGGGGTCCTCAAACTACGGCCCGCAGGCCACATGCAAATACAAATATTGTATTTGTTCCTGTTTTGTTTTTTTTACTTCAAAATAAGATATGTGCAGTGTGCATAGGAATTTGTTCATAGTTTTTTTTTTTTTAACTATAGTCCTGCCTTCCAA